ACGTTTCATTTGCGAATTCAATATTTGCCAGCGGATAACAGCGGATATGCGAGCATCAGCAAACACGGGCACTCCTTACATCGCTAGTTGAGATTCTATCCAGAAATAGAACTCGGTTCACTGTAGTTTCGCGATGTAATAATCATTCGATTCAAAAACGGACAGTTCTCTCTTGTGCATGTTTCGGAACTTTAATTAAACTTTTGTGTAAACCACGCTTATACCGCTAATAAGAGAGAGCGAAGTCGCACTTAGTAACTTTAGTTTAATTTAAATGTTAAATGTGCCGTTTAAATGAAACTGCTATAGCGATGTATCAGAAAGTTAATTCCGCTTGGATGGATTAACATAAACATTATAGAAATGCATCTTTTTATAAATTCTCTACTAATATATACATAATCTCCAAGATGTATACATCTACAGAGTTTACTGTCTCAAAAAATGCTTTTTCCTTTTAAATATTAAATCTTGTAAATTGAAAAAAAAAACACTACTAAAAGACATTAATTAATTAATGCGTACATAAAAATTGAAAAATATTTGTCATTTAAATATTAATTAATCTGAAATTACTTCTGCAGAAACTACATACAATTATTTTATATATATATTATAATATTATATACTATAATATATATTCTATGTATCCTACTATATTATCACCGCAATTCGCTCTTTCTAGCAAAGTTTCAAGAGATCATCTTTTTCTTGCATTAAAATACAACGAACAATATAGTTTACAAAGTGTACTATGAGTCTCAAGGTGTTCGCTCCCGATAGCGGTAACTTTAATCGCTCTTTCGCATCTTCTGGCGGAATATAACAAAGTTAACGAGTGGGAAAAAACAAAGTATACGCGACAACTTATCTATCTTCTTCTACTTCTTTCCTTTTTCCGGAAACTTTGTTGAGAGTCATCTCACGGTTACGAGCAGTGGAAACTCACGGTTGCAGTTCGATCAGGCGAGACGCCATAGAGTTCCCCTCTTCCGGTCATTCGCCGGTCTACGTGCTCGAGATACGTGAACGACTTTTTCGAACGTGATTAGGATTCATGCGGTCGCCACTCCGAAGATGAACGGTCGCAAAACGGTACGTAGAGTACGCGAAGTAGGTCAAGCTCACGAGGACGGCCCGGGAAGAAATATTTCGATTCGCCGAAAGAGCGAAGAGAGAAAGAGAGCAACGAAGAAAACGCGAAAATGTACCGAGGTAATGCATCATCCGGATGTAGGTTACATCCTGCTTAGCTCGACCTGGCTTTGGAACCTATTATAGCTTCGCAGTTAACAATTCTCGTTCGTTGTTTCCCTGAGAACATACAGTTTCTTTTGGAGAAAGAATAATTTTTCTTGTTTGCCCGTTTTTTATTTTATCCTGTCAGACTGTTAGATAGGAATATATAACGCGACAGTTATAAATAATGATACAATAATTTTGATGTATTGCAATTATTGTCGTCGCTCTTGCTATTCTGAACCGCCGCGCTTTTTCTGTCGCATCCATTTTCCTAAATCTTCGCATTTCTCGCGCATCCCCTTTATCCCTTCCCTCCCTCTACATTTTTTGTAAAGCTTTTCCGGACCCTTGCTACCATCTCGCGTAACATTCTTCTCTTCGTGACTGATGGCCAACGATGATGAAGCAAATTTGTACGACGTCGTTTCTCCGGCGTGACGCGGCTGATTCATAGCGAGAATCGAAAGCGTTTTCTTTGACGTACTTGCGTTTTGTCAAAAAATCACGCGACATTATTTAACTTACTGAGAGAGCTTTATGCATAAAGTAGGTGACCATTCAAAATTTTTAAAGGCAATGTAGTAAAAAATGGGATACGTCTTCTTTAAGATATGCTCTTTTATTGTCAGAACTTTTCTGTATACATTTCATTTTAACTCAAAAGGAATATTTTGAACCAAATGCGCGAAATGTAAATGGTTGGCTTTAAACGATGTGTCATTTGTAAAAAAAAAAAACGCGTAAGCTAGCACAGCGCACGTTACGCGAGTGAAGGAGCGTATTTCTTCTTCTGCTTCTTATTGTTAGATATACACTGGCAAATGCGAGCAATAGACTACGCGCATCCGAGATCTAATGGTCTTTTTCTCAGAAAATTGGTAGAGAAGTAAAGGATCGTCCTGTGATTTCACGATTCATTCCACGTCCACAAGTGCCTTGGAACAGCGAAAGGCTTTTTACTCCCCGATAGCTCTCAAATTTGCAATATTTCTCTGGATTACGCGGCCAAGTCGAGCCGCGATGAGCGCAAGATGAAGATTACTTATCTCTGAGGCGGATTTAGTTTTCATTGAAAGAAAAAGAAGAATCAAAGAAAGAAAAGGAAGAAGAATCGGTTAAGCGTAACAATATGCGCGGCGACCGTCGTGAATTATTTTCAAGAAAATATTTGATATTCAACCTTCTCATTAAGGAAGATTCCGATTTTACAATATGAATGCGCATTGATAAAGGCGAAGTCTTTTTCAACGATGCAGCTTTTGTAGAAATTTTTTATGTGCTCTGTTGCATAAATTATAAACATTTCTCTTAATTAAAGATACGAATCTCCGAGAATTCAAAATCCTGCAGAATAAAGAATAGTTTAATATTATTTTATATAAGCTTTATAGAATTAATTCTCTCGTGTATTCAATATCTTTTCTAAAGAAAAGTACTTTTACGCGCATTCTGAAATGAATAAATAAAAATAAAATTAAACGCTACGAGAGAAACGCGCGAGGATGAAATCGAAACGTTTGAAGTTCACCGATTTGGAACTTGAAAGGGAGTCTCGAGTATTAACTATTATCGACGTGGAGGATGTCAAACGTGTCTCTACGGAGCATGTAGCCTCAGCCTTAAGACGCATACCAAGCAAATCGATGATCTACTTGGGCAACGAAGAGAGAAGCGATGAGTCTCCTTGAAGACGAGGGAGTCAGCAAATTGGCGAATTGGGCCGACAGCATGCGGGTTGTTGTTTGAGTGGAAGCCACGTGCTCTCCCGTATATGTATAAATCTGGACGTACGTGTGTGAGGAAACCTCCTAATAGCTTTGAACGTTGCAAGGATGCAGTAGGTGTGACACATTAATCAGTAGCAGTGTTCGCCAAGGGTGGGCACCAGCCACCCGTGGAGCCGAATCTTGAAACATACAGCGTCTCGCTTGGATGTTGCGCACTTCTCGTGATTCAGGACGTTGAAGATATAAATTGAAAAAAAATACCGCTTCGATATTGAGATACTAATAGCTCTTTTAAGCTACTGACTTGATTGAGGACTTAAAGAATATCGCGATATAATACCAACGCGAGGAAATTTGCGCGAATAGAAGATAAATAACAAATTATTATTTTTTAATTATTTAATTTTAAACGAGCAAAGAATCTTAGAATCTTAATTTTGTCATCACAATGCGTAATGGAAAATTTAAAAATCATAAGAAAAGAGAGACGTTTAATCAAATTTCTAAATCAAAGAAATCGAATTTAAAGTTTACAAAGAAATTTATCGTTGATATAAAGTACAATCTCTGTCACATCCTGCATAGCGCCAAATCCTTTTTTTTATCAAGATTTTAAAGGGAGTATTTCGTTCTTCTTGGTTCGACATCATTATAAATTTCCGCTGACAAGAATACGACAAATTCCACACATAGCATTCACCATTTTTACGATTGCATATTTATCTTTGCAAAGTCTCTTTTTCATTATAACAAGAAATTTCATTATTTCATCTTCTTCTTATTTGTTTAATATATGTATAGCTCGCTGAAATCGATTCAATATTTGAGTCTAAGAACATAAATATATAATGCGATAATCAATTTAATGTTTTATATAAAAATAATTTTTATATGAAACATAAGAAATATGTATATAGCATTCAAATGATAATTTATATTAAAATGTTAAAGTTTATCTTGATGCTTTACCGGAAATATCTTTCTTATCACGTCTTTCGTTCGAGATTACACATTTGGAGCGAAGATGGCTTCGAGGACGTCTAATACGCGAACATTATGGCGCATTTTGCCCGAGAATGACTAACGCGCGTGCTCGCCAGGAATGATAAAAAGCGAACGAGAAGATCGAGGACCCACGTCGCTGCGGCAACGTAGTCCGAATCTATAAATGGTTCCAAGTCGTGTCAAAGGAAATGGATCCAATTTAAATCGCGGTCTGTCCTTTATCCAACCGGCCAGCCAGATTTCCCCATCGTCGAACGGATCTGCGTTATGAATGATCTTGTGAGATTTACATTTCGTTCTGCCTCCAATGCCAATTCTGGTTATACATTGCGGCAATTTGCCTTCGTTCGACAAGATGAGCTCGCGGATGAATCGAACATTTTTTTTTTCCAAGTTCTGGCATTTTGGAAAAATCTAGTCTATTAAAAGTGAAAACATACTCGACTTTTTATATTACAGTATCATATAAAGCGCAAGATAACATGTTATTGCTTCAAAAATGTCTTTGATATTTTTTTTAAGCAGAAATTCGTGATTACTATTAAGATAACAAAGCCATTGGGTATAAAGAGCTTATGTGATTATAATTGCAGTGATATGAATCTACTATGTATACGACCCCGTGTACCGTGCGTAGGAAGACTTCTTTTCTAGCTTACTGTGGATTAAAATCTCCACCGTAATACAGCAGTGCTTATTAAAAATTTAATTAGAGTTCTATTAAAATTCATTAGATTGCAGTCCGTTTTTGATTACGTTGCTATGCAAAATGGATACAAGAATTATATATTTGGAATTATAGTAATATTCACATTATGTGATATGCAATGAATTTGTTTTGTTAGTAACACTCTATGCAACCAATAATTTTCAGATTACCTATTATTTAAGATATTGCTTACATATATATTATAGATAACAAAATAACTTGTAATAACATAATATATATGCTGGCACTTATTTTTTAATAACATACTTTTTATACGTTTATAACAACTAAATGATCTCTCTCTTTATATCTTTCAGTATATGCGTTACGGTGGTCGTTCTCAACGTTCACTTCCGTTCACCACAGACGCACAAAATGGCACCCTGGGTGAAGAGGGTTTTTATACACATTCTTCCGCGACTTCTAGTCATGAGAAGACCTCAATATAAATTTGAAGCAAACAGGTATCGCACACACACATACAAATATAATCGGAGAATACGTATTTATTGTTCAAAGATATAAAGAAATTTATAAATTTATGTTTATCTTCTTTTTTCACTTACTTTAAGAAATTTAAAATTGAAGATTATTAAAAATAATTTTTTTTTTGTTTTTCTCTTATTTATATGAAAAAATTTTAATTTTTTTAGAATTATTTATCAATAGATTTAATATTAAAAATTACAAATATCCAGAAAAAAGGTCATATTTTTACGAAGAATAAATCGACTTCAATCTGATTAAAAAGTACGCGAACAAAAAAGTCAGAGCAGTACTTTTAAAGCATCTAAATTTGCACCAGCGACAGAAATCAATAGTCAAGAGCTTTGTTACGTAAAGATTTCATGTTATACATATTTGGCGCGCGAGTTTGTCTTGTGTTTTAGTCTCGACAATGATCATCAGTCAGTCATTCACCGTGCCGCTTTTAGAACATACGACACTTGCATTAAAATTCTCCGCGCCCGATTGTCTGCGTTTACAGGTACACTTCCGGTAGAGTGTTAATGAGGACCGTCAGGGGAAAGGAGAAAACCTGCTATTATCCTTACCCTCCATCGACTCAGGAAGACAGTGAGGAGCACCTCACACCCAAGAGATTCCACAGCCGTCCTCCATCAAAGGAAGACCTCTCGCCTTCCAGGTATTTATGATAATACGAAACGCTTCGTAATTACCTCTTTGATCTTGATATTCTCTTACAGACGCTTTTCAAACTAACATTGACATATTTTGCTAAAGAGTTATAATTGCAAATTTAAAGAGAGAGAGAGAGGATAATTATAATAAATAATATAATTAAATTATATAATTACATTAAATTTAGGATAATTTTTTTAGAATAACTTTTTTTACAAATTATTTTTTTAATCATAAATTTAATTTAAGATTAAATTATAAATTATTATTGTTCTTATAATATGTTAAATAAAAATACTGCACAATACTGGGAGAAATATGTGTATTAATGGGCATGAATAATATCAACAATATTATTTGCCCTTTATTCGCTTTAGTCTTACAGACGGTGCGAGGTTTGGAGGTAGCTGCTTAATTCACGGTCCTCCTTTACCATTGCACACCGAATGCGAGGATCTCTCGGTTTCCGGAGACGGAGGCATACAGGAAGTCAAAAGTCCCGTACTCCGAAGCCCGCCCGCCTTCTCGCATTCCCGCTGTCCGCCGGAAGTGCACAGATCCTGCATCTGCGTGCGTTTCATCGCCGAGCACACCAAAATGCTCGAAGATTCGACTAAGGTATAAATCTATTAAAAATCAAATAAATGAGGAAATAAATAAAATGCAAATAAAGAAATAGAAATAAGTAAATACAGAATATATAAAAGATCAGCTTTTTCAATAAAAAAATTTTATTGGTATTTTTATTTATTTGTTTCTCTTAATAATATTTTATAAAATCTATATCCGATTGTGAATAGAAAGAGAGACATATATATTGTATTTGGATTACTTAGATTTTAGATTAAGCTCTCCCCTACGGTCTCAAAATATTAATTCACTATCGTTAATAGATAACAGTGAATTGAATCGGCGCGATCAATGTTTCTTACAGGTAAAAGAAGACTGGAAGTATGTAGCAATGGTCCTGGATCGATTGTTTCTTTGGATTTTTACCCTGGCGGTCTTGGTAGGCACCGCGGGCATCATCTTGCAAGCGCCTACTCTGTATGACGATCGAGTGCCCATCGACAAAAAGTTTAGCGAGTTCGCGACCACGGCAGTGGTCAAATGTCCGCCCCAGTAGTCCATGCCCGAGCCCTGCACCGTAGAGAAAGATTAAGGATCAGAAGCACGGACCCCTCCCCCCCACCCCCCGTCCTAGTTTTAGGGGACTCCGCAAGCTCCAGCTCCTTATCCTCAACGATGAAATTACGGCAAAAGGGCTCCGATCTTACAAAGGATGAACCGGAAGTATATGACCGGCGATTTTGACGATGAATGGGACGCAATGTTCCTCTGAGAGAAGAAAAAAACTGGAAGAATGAGATAGAAAGTCATCGATTTGCAGAGACAGTCTGGTGGATAGAAAGACGAGAATCATTGCTCCTTGAGAAGGAAGGCGATAGACATTGTTACGAAACCTTAAAAGGGAGAAACGGGAGAACTCGAGACAACGACGCGTCGTCGTTTGAATAAAACTGCACTTCCATCTGTTAAGAAAACTGCGTCTCCCAAATAAAGGACTCGTTGACCGGCGCGAGATTCGCCACACACACACAGGTGACCTACATACACCTACATAGTCTGCTCAAGTAAATCGTAATATGAAGCTGCCACTACTTAATCGGGTAAACCTAACACACATCAGATGGACTTTACGATGTAACACTGTAAGTAATTTTAACGCCTCGAGAACGAAAAAAGCGAGAACCGAATCTTCGCCAACGTTCGCCTAAACGCGCGCGAGCAAGCGTCAAGTATCGTTCGAGTAGGGCTCGGAACCGAACGTGAATTAAAACGCGAGATTAATTAATATCTTTTTTCAATCTATACGTTATAGATTTATAATCTAGTATGCGAGACGCAACCGATATTGAAAACTGGTCAACCCGAATTATACGACCGGCTTTTAACGTAACATTGTATCGCAACGTCGATCGTGTCGCGGCTGTATGTCGTAGCAGCATTTTACGCACACTGTTTACGCGAAGAAGTAGCGCCGATATACATATATAACAAGCATTTCTCTTTTTTGAACGTAGAACATTTTTTATACCAAACGCGATATCCTCCGAATAATTCCATACTTTGTTGCCGCGCGATGCGGTACATTTACTGGCACTTGAGAGTTGCAAGGGTTTCGCGACACACACAGCGGCCGAATAAGAAACTGCAATAGTGTACGCACTGCGTACGCGGTATATTCGATCCTTACATGCGCGAACGATTCTTCGCTCGAGCAAACGCCGCGTTTCGCAAGCGTACGTTTTGTATTGTAATGCGGGTCGTAAACCGCTCGCATTACGCGAGTTAATTAGGTAATCACCGCATAGCTAGTTCGTCGTACACAGACCTAGGGTGTAATCTTACTTGAAATATATAACCAGTAAGTAATTTTAAAAACGTACCCGTGTTTATACGAGCACAATATATATATATATATATATTTAAATATATATATATATTTAAGAGCGATGGACGAGCCGATGGCGCGTCGGTAGCGCGGAGCAATTATATTTCTCCTCAACTATATACGCGTGAGAGGCTCTCTATATAGGGATATATCCTAAATATTATATTTAATCAACTATATATGACATAATCTCTCTTCTGATATTATCAATTATACTTCCATAAGTAATGTCTTTACGAACGCTTTGTATCCCCAAACACACTTGATTTTTTCGCCCAGGGCTTCTCCATCTTTTCCCTCTATCTATATAAGCGATGTAAATATATTTATTCAGGCGTGTGCAATTATTTGTCATCGTTTCCTGCAACTTTTCCGCGGTTCTCCTTCCAAAGTGAAGGAGGCACTGATCGGGTGGACTCGCGTCGCCGACGCATCTCGCGTTATCTCGTCCCGAGAATAAGAATATATTGTATTTTGTAACGAGAAAGGTGAAACACGCGAGAATACTACAATAAAGAGTAATTGATAGTACGGTAAGAACAAGTAAAGCATACGAATTCTAAAGCTGATAGTTGTAGGGAATTGAACGACCGTTGACGCCGTTGTTCAATACCGGTAGTTTGTGGTCGTTGTCATTGTGAGTTGTCATTCATAATTTCGCCTTTTATTCCGTTTTTCTTTATAGACAGTTACGCGTCATGTATGATACTCGTCATTGTGGTTAAACGATCGTTAGTCGCGAATCGCGTCGTGCGGACTGTTACTCGCGAGAGTGTAATCCAACATCGGAGAATTTTGGAGCTTTCTTGTCCAAATCGCAATTACTATTTTCCATATATTTGAGAAATTCGGATAAAACTTTCTGTGATTTCTAATTTACTCTGAAATTGATGCAGACATTAAATACGTGTCATTAATTTATATAGAATTATGTTGAAGCTTCCATTAAATCAATTGAAGGAAAATAATCGGTTATTATAAATTGAAACAAAAAAATCTACGACTTTATTCGATGCCGACATTTACATACATAGACAAAGCATAAAGGAGCCGAATTGCTCCATCGATCGACGGTCGAAATTTGCATTCCCGATTCTCCGACGTTCTTAGAAATCTTATTGTTAGTCATAATTAAAGAGTAATTTTGCGCATTCTAAGTACAATGCCGTAGTACTTGGAACTGTAAATATATATATATATATATATATTATATATATAATTACGGCGAGGAATAACGATTCCCCATTACTACTGCCATTAAAACGCAAGGTCGATACTTTACGCGTTTTTAGCTGTTACTTGGACCGCCGTCGATCGTAAAAGGCAATATCCGGCGTACGATCGCCGATCGATCATCGGGCAAATCGATCAGAGTGTAAAATTTCTAATTATTTCTTCTCGAGATTCGGACGATTGTTTCTTCTTGATCGACGCCCCGATTGATTTATGCCGGATATTATCAAGCGACGTCATGTGCGAGGATGAGAATACACGTGGTCGCTACCTGATTGAAAATCGTCCAGCGAACGCATTAGATTTGAAGGAAATAAAAAGACGTACATTTAGACGTACATTAGAATAGTAGGTTCGAGGGATTCTCCTAGCGAAAAAGCGAAACAAATCTATTCCGCACTAGGTCGTTAGGAAAACAACGCACACGTTTTCTATGATAGAGCTATGAATTTACTTGTTACTTGAAATAATGCAGCGAACGGTGACTTTCGAGTCGACGGCGATTTTATTGCAAAGACGGCATCTGAGTTTAATTACGGAATAATGTATGAAAACAATTTTGGTGTTTTAGTTTCTAATAAACAGAAAAAAAATAGAGAAGCCATTTTTAGCTCTGTATGTGTGTGTAGTCTATGTATGTTTAACAAATTAAAAAGAAATTTTAATTTTACAAAATAAATTTCTATCAATTAATTTCTTCTAAATTATTCTTATTAGCAGAAATTTTTTAACATTTTAGCAATTTTTGTCATTGTCACAATTTCTATAAAATTAACTTTGTATTCGGAAAACATAATGAAGCTGTACTATTATTAAAAACATTCTACAAATATTCATCGTCGACTGCGAAAATCACTTCGATATGATCGAAAAATTCGATTGTTAGAATGATTTTAGATTACAAGTCAAGAAGAAATGAAAGAAAGATAGAGCGAATGCACATTTAAATAATAAACAATTAACAGGATAAATTAAGATGTAAATATACCATGTAAATAACGAAGCGTAACAATAAGTAAAGGCTATAATGGTTGAACCTTTTCTTACAATTTTCAGACGATTAGATATTCTTTTGAAAAATTTTAACAGGGCTCTTTAACAGCGACATCGTAACACCTTAGTAACATAACTACGCGTGTCACTTCGAAATTTTAATTTTTCAACATTAATATATTATCCCAACATAAAATTATATTCAATTTTATTCGATTAAAATGCTGTCAGAGAAGCTCTCTTTTATCAGAAAATAATGACAAAGTTTGAATAAATACAATAATTCGAAATTTTCACAAAAATATAGAAGTTTTTTGGATATACTGTAGATAGTTTATATATAATTCATTTGCGTAAAGCTTACGCAATTCATCAAAGTAACTCATTACGAAGAAACAACTAAAATACCAATAATATAAAACGATGCTCTTCGACGATAGAATCATAAAGAAAGGTGTGGCAGACAAAGGTATAGTTTTTATTTTCTATAATTTTTATCACGTGAGAGCGATTTTATGTTAATCTCTCGCCGTAACATGGCAACTATTCCGTAATATTTCGTCAAAAACAGATAGTTTTATTTAGGCTTATAAAATTTGCAAGCGGTATAGCTCTTGGAGCGTACATTTTCGAGCGATCTCTTTCAGTCATCCTGTTTCCGATAACAGTTTTTACAATTGGTGCTCTCGACGCAGGATTATCGAAATTTCGAGCACCTTCATTAATTAGCGTTTGGTCATAAGGAGAAGAGCGTGGAACTGAAGTCTCGATATCGAAGTACAAAGTACTATACGGTATCGGCATTAAATGCATCGAGTGTAACTAGCCGCATCCAAAAAAAAAAAAGTAACATTCTACGCAGGATGGCATGACCAAACATAACGAACGGAAACGGATTTTTTTGACGTGACTCGTTTGAAACGAATATGAAATTTTAAAAACGCAGAATTTGATGAAATCGCGTTTGTTCGTCGCGCACAATATCTTAACAATCTATATTCCATCGTGTCGATGTATATATACGATCGTTTTAGAATGTCGACAATGCGCTCACACGCGACACTGATATAATAATGCGTCTGATAAAATTGAGTGAATTGTATGAAGACAATAAACGATCGAAAACTTTTTCAAGCGATTGGTTGAAGGGGTTATTCATGAAATAAGACAACATATGCCTTGAATCGAATGAAGAAAATAAAGGATAGCCTTTACGTGCATTAATATAACAAGTGAAATATTTCAGATAAATAATATTGTAAGAGAGAGTTGTGCCGGAAATCCGTTTTGAAGATTTGAATAAAAAATACAGAACGCTTTTAATAAATCATAGTTGACGTATTAATAGTGTGAGAAAATATTCATGCGCGATCAATTCACATTTTGTTAAAAATATATAGATGTGCCTCATTTAAAAAAAAAAAAATAACCCCTTCAATAAGAGATTGGAGAATAACATATTTTCGCGCGTCGTCCCAGGATAAAAACGTGCGTTTGAACAATTCTCGTGTATATCGAGAAACTTTTATTTCCAGACGGATGAATGCGGATTTAGCGCCAAATGCGCTGAGATTAACTCATTTAATGTGAGATTCTTCTGTTTAATATAAATGTGAAATAAAACTTTCCAATGGTATCTAACGTTAAACACGACTGTCTAATGTTTAACTTAACTCTGAAACATCATATTTAATATAAAGAAGAGAAATGAAAAAACAGATGGTCGTATTTAGCGGTAAATATACGTAATTTATGTAAAGTCGCATACTTCATATCGATAGATATGAAATAAGAAAAGGATCGCATTTAGCGCTAAATAGCGTAGTGAAATGGGCTGGATGCATCGCCATGATATATATAAAATCATCGTTATACAATTATGCGATTTTGAGATCTCAAAGGATTTTGATGCACGCGAAAACCGATATAACGCGCTTCGCGTGCGCTTAAGATCTCGATTAAACATCGGCCGCATTAATCTCTGACGGCCCGAGCCCCATCCGACGATAAATCATCGCTTCCACCCTTAAACCGCGCGTGTTTGATAGCTTGCGAATATATACCGTACTTAACGCATTTAACGAGTTAGACTAAAAATGAGAAGTGAGGACAACGGTACGAATAGATTATTGTAAGGATAACATAGCGTGTTATAAAACGAGCGTACCGTATAGCAATAGTGCGCCATTAACGAGCGGAAATGCGCGCGAGTGAAGAGTTTACGATAAACATTGGAATAATAATTACCACATCGTTAGAGATACGATTATTATATATATCTATATCGTTTGTTAAATATGTACCTAAACACTAATTATACTAACGACCGTCATTCTAAGGCTAAACGATATAAGGACGAGATTCTTGTTGCTTGGTTTTGTAATCATGCTTGACAAAAGCATACGGAAAAATAAAACTTGTTGTCGTAGAAAAGTTCTCGCGGTTCTCTTTTCTCATGCGAACACACGTGTACGAAAGTGTGAATCGATAATCGTACACAGAGTCTCCTTCATCCTGTTGCAACTCCTGGAAAGATATCTCTCGAATATTCATGTCGGTATCTCCGTGGCATTGTTCGCCGTTAGCCACTCCTGCACTTCCGGCAAGGATTCTTTCAACCACTTTATCGCGAAATTAGCGTGCGCCTCGACCATCGCCATAGTATATCCCACGGTCTTTATACTTTCAAGATTATCCTCGCTGAAAGTCTGAAACTGAAGGATCGAAATTTTTAATACTCGAAAATTTTTGTCTTTTAAATGACACTTACATCATCTAGATCTTCCTTGCTGGTCAAACCGTTCATCGTTGCCAGCGCGAAAGCTTTTAAAATCGGGCGAGATTTCGAGAATCTATACAGACACGAGAGCAAATTACAATCTGCTTATGAATTCGACAGAGAGATAAGAAAGTTGTAAACCTTGTGACGATAGTCTGCCAATTATTTCGCACAAACTTGTAGGCGAGTTGAGCAGCAACTGGATTTTGCGGGAAACTTCTCAAGATCCTTTGCGTCTCGTCCTCGCTGTAGATCTTCCCCTCAAGAAGCTCGCTAAGTAGCCTTAACAAGTAGCATTGATACGCATTATACATTTCTAAACATATATTGTTTTCGAGGGATCAATCTCGAGTTTTTCTATAATTAAATTGTGTTGCGCAATTCAAAATTGCAGAATAAGTTTTTTAATTAATAAAGATATGTAAGGGACACAAATATCTTTTACTAGAAATATCGTATATATTTCTGTTGGATATTTGAAAATTGTGTAGATATTTTTCCAATATTATTCCGATATTCTCTGATGAATTTGAAATCTTTATTCCTTCTTAGTGAAGATTCTATTTTCATCTTTTCTTTCTTTTTTAAGTCTTTTTTAATTTTCAATATTAAATATAAAAATTAAATTACAATTCTGTAAAAATAAAATATTTTCTTTAAATTAAATAAAGAGAGAATATAAAATTTGGAAAAATTATTTCTCTCTCCTTAAACTTATTTTTTAAAAAAACTTTGATTTTACGAGTTTACATATTGTTCTCAATTCTATTATATTATTAACTATATATTAATTTTTAATTCACACTTACGATAAAATCCACGGAGTCTGGAAGCATGCAAACGCTGATAAAAGGCGATTTTTCTCTTCTCGATCTGCTGTAGAGTTTGCCCTCTCAACAAAGTAATTCCACTCGTTTCGCGTGCCATATCTTGCGATCGTACAATACAACACTTCGCGTGCGTATGCCGGTACGCTGAAACAATCAAAGTTTTATCTCCAAAATAAGCCACAAAATCTAACCGATATATTTAGAGATGGAAATTATTCCGAAGATATCATCATAAATTTTTTTGCCCTCATATTTTTTTTATCGCTACTTTGTTAATAATGAGTGCTTCGCGGTTTAGTATTATCGATCATGTAAATAATTTAATTATTGTTTTCAGACTTTTAACTGCTATATGAGAGAAAAAAACAGCTAATGTTTTATTTATCCGAGACTACATATCGAAATAATTTTGACATGGACGTCAATAGAAATATAGTATCCGGCTATAAAAGGACCGTTTAAGAATGCGTACAATCGCGATGTATCGATCAGAATTCCATTTCATCCAACTAACGGAATTATGAAAAAAAAGATTGTACAAAATTTGTTATAAATTGAATCACATATGTTATCGTCTCTCGTTTGAGAGATATACCATATGGTTGCATGAAGAACGGATTTTGAATAAAACATTAAACATTTTATCAAACTTACACTTCGTCCGCGTCAGAATGATCCTTTAGTTTCGCAAAATGATTTTTCGACCATTCGAGACACTCGGCGTTTTCGAACGCGCACGCTATTTTTAGGGCGGTCAAAGTTAGCCCCGATCCCTCATCAATCTTCCATCCCACGTCTGAATATAATTTTGATGTGAATCTCAATGTAAACTCCTGCAAATGATCCATTCCGTTATTATATTACTATCCACTAATAATTTTTAATCAAACTATTAGTTTTTATTAAAAAAACTTTACATAAATTTTAAATTATTTAAATTTCGAACACCTATGGCTATCATCTTTGTCGCTTTGAGAACAATAATAATAGAGTATTATTTTACTTAAGTGTTTTTATAAGTGCATTGTAAATTATGATTAAATATTATATTTATAAGAGATATACATTTCATCATAAGTTTTTGATTATCTCATTGTACTTTTGTCCTTATATACATGAAGCGGTATACTTTTAACAAAATATTCATAGAATATTTTGCAAACCTGACAATTTTGGCCGTTAATCGTGAATAGTTTGCTGACGACTAACTGTAAATATATTCTTTTAGAATATTTTCCTATCACTACATAAGGACATACTAGATTACCTGAAAGTCGCTGAAGCCTGACGTTTCATAAAGAAGATCGTTTAATTTCAACAGATGACGCATCAGAACACTCCAAGGAGCGTAATGTCGTTCCTTCATTTGCATATATTTAATAAAGCTAAAAGCGGTCGCGTATTTCGTCAAGCCCACCGCAGCGAGCCCGAGCACATCGTCGATGAGCGATGCTCTGGTTTCTGCCGGAAGGACCTCGTGATCCTCCTCGAGGGCCTGCGCCAGGAGCTTCCAATTTTCCTCGTCATAATGCACACGGTAATAACCTTGAAAGCAATTAACGTTAGCAATAGAATGGACACTCGTGTCCCGTCTCGCAATTTCTCATTAAATTGGATAATATTAAAGTTAATTTGTCTCAAATATATTATTTTTCACATGAGTGGCAGCGAAAATATTATTTATATGTATAAAATCAAAAAATTCTGTTTTAATATATAGAACAATCGAAAAAGAAGAGTGTAAATTGAAAAAGCAGCGCCAAAGGTAGATTAAAATATATCGGAATTAAACCACTCAAAAAAACGCATAAAGTCTATAAATATCTGTAAATTACCCGTTTAATTAATTAATTTTATTTATCCCTATTACTAGCAAATTTATTTAAAAAAGGAAAATTTATAATTAGAATTAATATTCTATTTTTTACATGAATTGTTATCTACAAAAAAGTTTAATATAAAATTTTGTATGTAATTAATAGAAAAAGACAAAAGTGTTATTAATTCTAATAAAAAGATATTTTGATATACATATAATTTTTTATAGATTTTCTTTTACAAGAAAAATATTTATGCAACCAACCTGTTTTATTCACATTGAACACGATCCAAGAATCCTGAGCACCAACATCATGCACCACCGTTTCCGCTTCGGAATGTAACCACATCTTCGTCGGAGATGACCAATCATTCCTCGTTTTGTTAATATAGTCAAGCGGTATGTACCACGTTGGTTGAGTGTCGGATGACGATTGATCGTACGTAAATCTTTGCTGCGCGACAATAGTTGACAATAATAAAAATATTTTATCTCGAGAGGCACATAAAGTTACAAATGTACATGATTTGATACGCATTATTTAAATCGCACCTGTCTAACAATAGCTGTGCCCTTCTCGTAGTCCCTCGTGATGCTAACGACCGGATATCCATGATTCAAAATCCAAGAATTCATCATATTGAACAAAGTAATTTCTGCGGGTAAACCGACAGTTTCTTCCGCCATCGTTTCCCAAAAATCATCAATATTTGCTGTCGAGTAATTCCTAGAAAGAATATTAATTTAAAAAAACTTTAATGTCTCTAAAAACTCTAATGTCTTTTTATATAATGCATTTATGGTAAAAAATGAAAAATTACTGATGCATTATCTTCTGTACATTATATTACGCGTATCAGTATTATATATTTTGCGATTCTATGCCTTCGAATATATCGATGATGGATCCACTTATATAACGATAAAGAAGCATGAGAAATAACGATTGGCAGCTCGTGACATTCAATGGCTGATATTATCATAAAGTCGACGGGATAATTCGCTGTAAAACACGTCGATTATCGTTTCGACGATTAAATCACGAGGACGCTCGAGTGATTTAAACGCGCGGATCGCGCACGGTTGATGAACGGATGACGACGGTCGTTCAAAGGATAAAATCGACGAGATAATGTGATATATACCCACCACCTCGCTACGAATTTCCGGTAGCCGTTCCTAAAGGCGGTATCATTTATTACGCCATGCAACATGCGAATCAAGCATGCACCTACAAAAAGCAGTCAGAATGCAGGATCATGTTATGAAACATTCGACGAGAACGTATATTTGATACTGCTTTTCAAATAAAACTGAGACTGTTCAACAAGCTGTTTTATGTATTTGCATATCTTTAAAGAGGCTAATACTTATCAAATTTAATTTATGATATTAAAAGAGAAATATTAATATTAATATTTACAAAAATATCAGAAAAATATTTGGAAGTTTTATAAGCATTGTCACTCAAGGAAGAAACGATTTGATAGACATTTTTACCTTTCTTAAGTCGAGCATTGTCCGAGAAGTCCAGATGAACGGGATTGATGTTCGATTGCAACGATCTTGAAACGCTGTAACCATCTTCTTCCATGGCATCCCATTGCACGTCGGCAAGGAAGGCATGATTGGGGTCCAATGACAAGTCTATCTGAAAATAGAATCTCATGAGAATCTCTTTCCTTTGTTCGACAAGGAAAGATGCTCTTTTTATCTGGACATCTAATCAGATGTGAGTCGATTATTTTGAAAAGGTAAGAAACTGGATATATACTGAAATTATTAGGAAATAAAAAAGCCAATATAGATAAATTAACATAAAATTAACAATAAACTAACGATCACATTCAAATGTTTAGTAAAGTTTAAATTAAATTATTTCTATAAAAAGATCTAAAATTTCATTTTATAAATATGTAAACTTTGCATTTTATAAAATTTTGCAATTTTGTGAACATGTAAATTATTTTTTTGTTTAATCTCTCATTTATTTCATTTTCTTAAAAAGTGAATAATCGATTCAGAATTTAGTACATGAACTTTAACAATACACACAGCTCAATAGAATAAAGTACACATGATTCTTAGTTTTTTACATAAGAAGAAGATAAAAATGTGCGATATGTTTTAACATCTTAAAATAAAAAATCTATGAAACAGTAAAATTATTTAATTTAAATGAGAATCAACATTCAAATATTTCATTTCGGTGTGTGTACATTTAAAGTTAATAAATGTCACAAATATTATTCCAATTATGTGCCTTCTCGATCATCGCATGTCGCAAATAGATCGTGGAGCCTTCTAGAAACCAAATGTCCGACCAGTTCTTCACGTTCACGACACCGCCCAGCCATTGTTCTCCTATCAAGCTTATCAGAGCGCTTAACGCGTCTGTCTTCGTGACCATGGGAGATCGATCCGCGGCGTAGAAGAGCGATTGCCTTGAAAACAATTTAGTTCGATGTGCAGCACAATATCAAATGTAGAATAATTGTATAAATATGACGAATTAGTCTAACAATATAATTATTGATTAAAATGTAAATCAAATTTTTTTAAATGTGAAATTGTTAAATTGTTTAGTCTTGAGAAAAATTATCTTAATGGTATTTTCTGCCAAATTTGCCAGAAACAAATAGATAAGATTTTATTCCATTATCAGATTTTTTTGTAACTTAAAAATATCTCTGTGATACCAAAGATCTTTTAATTTAAAATTTGCTCCCCAAATCTATTTAAAATTAATTCAAAAAATAAAATTTTATAATCTTCTTGAAGTTGATTTGTACCAGAATATCTTAATTTTCCGGCAAATTAATTTTCTATAATCCAATTATTCTTGTAGATAAAAAATAGTATTGCTATCTTGCTTACTTCATCGATATTAAACCCAAGCTTCCAGCATTATCAATGATCCGCGGTGGTAATGCAACGATATCTAATTTCGATAGCGGATAAGGCATCGAGAATATATCGTTTAAATATGTAACGACTTGGTCAAGTTTGTCATAAAGATATATCCCTCGTAATCGCCTCTTTGGATCACCCCAGAAAGTCACCGTCGTTTTATTATCAGGCCCCGTTTTTGTTTCACTCAACGATTCGACCTCGCCCATTACGAAGGCCAGATTGTAAGGTGACAGCAATGGGGTATCGTTGAAAGTGTCAATCACCTGATTGTCCGATCTTGAAAGGAGTAAGTCGCAGATTGATCATTTCATTTTCTTACAAAAGAAAAAAAGAAGAAGAACGACACATAGTGAAAAATACTATTATAAAAAATCTAGCAACATGTTTTAAAATTACCGCATAATATAAAAATTGCGGACTCCTCTAATTTTTATTTTATATCAATTTTTTATTCTACATTTTTATTGACAAAACACAATTGAAAAAAACTGGACAGTTTTACTATTTCAAACTGATATAGCCTTCTAACTACGCAAACATTGATACAGCTGCAATCAACACAGCATGAATTACGCACGTGTTTCTCGAGATATTGAGAGGCATGTTCGAAAGGACCCTCGCTTTGTGCGGACGTGCCACGGACATCGAGAAGACAGCCTTGAGATTCACGTCATCGAAAACCGGCAGAAGACGCGACGCTCCCAAAGGTTTCAACCGCGTTCCGATTAACGATCTATTAAAAAATATGTATAAATCAAATTATTTAAAAATTTACAGATATATCCTTGTTCCATTTGTTAAGAAAACGGAGATACTTTCTTAAGTTTTTAAAAAGAAAAATATATGTAAAATAAAAACACACACACACACATTACGTTTGATAATAGTTGAAAAAAATATTTATACATATCTTTTTCAAAATAAAATACTTTAGTACATAATTGGCCATTATAAACTAATTGATTTTTTGCTATTATTGACCAATATGATCATCACGGGAAAAACTTACCTTTCTTCACCAGACTCGCCGAAGCTTGCCGAGTAAATCGCCTTACCGTCAAGCATAATCTCGTAATCGATCTCCAAGCTGTACGTTCCCGGATTTATGGCAACGGCCGGATGTATTATATGTAATCCGTTATTAGCATCCTCCTCGTATCGCTGGATCACTACCTCGGTTACGTTTCCGTTACTAGAAGTTACCGTGGGTGACGTCGCTGATCCAGATGTCGTCGATTCAGACGTCGTTGTGTTTGCGGATTCCCTAGATTGTCCATTGGTCACGGACGTGCTCTCATTCTTGAAAGAAGAGGAGGTTTCATTGCCGGAGGAGGTCACGTTTCCTGAAGGATAGTCAGTAACATCGCCTCGCGTTGTTTCCTGATTTTCCAATTGAACAGATGTCACGTTGGCGAGAGGAGTCATTGTGGTAACATTACCTGAGTTAATAGATCATTGTCCGGTTAGACAATCGATCGCGTAATTTTTTCTTAAGGATAAATATAAAAAATCTACGCATGAATTTTTATCTAAATCGTGATCACGTGCTATTACAATTTTTTCTTACAAATTGATGAAACTAGATTTAACCAGATCAATTATATAATGTTTAAAACGGTGAAAATGTAAACTCTTTTTTTTCTTTTTATTTTAAAATTTCTATTGCGAACGTTATGTAATTGATCATCCGCACGCTATTATGTTACGATATTGGCACAGCTGCAAGCTAATTATCGTCTTACCGCACATATTTCGCTACCAGAAATCTGTCGCTTTGTTAACGTACGTTAACCCGTTACCTCTTAATGATATTCATAGTGCAGATTATGACAAAAATGAAAGAAAACACGAGTCGCACTCGTGACATGAATTAAGATCTAACAAACGTGTTTCTAACTTGTGGCATCTAGCGACCTAACTGTTTCATATGTACTCCTCAAAAAATTGTAAGAAAAAGACTAAACATTTAATATAATATTAATAAAAATATACAAAAAATAAATTAAATACTTTTAACACAACCGTTTTTTACGAAATTAATAAGCATACCACTCATCTCTCTCTCATATATTAGTCGAAATATTATTTCTATTATACAATGGAAAGAAATAGAAAGCTAATTTTAATGAAAGATATTAATAAAATGGAAGACGTTTCTGAAATAAATACCAGAGTTCACCGGTTTCCATTCCATGGTTTGATTGCCTTTATTGTCATCCTCGGCGCGTCTTCTACGTCTTCTTTTCGCTCGCGCATTGTTCCCTTCTATGAACGACAGCTTATAACGCGTTACCGTGATGTTCCTCGCATTGAGAGACAATTTGCTTAGGGACGGTGTACCATCGACACGGAATTTGATAATGACTCGTCCTTTTAGATTCGACGTCGCGTTGACGTCGCTTGGCGGCGTCAGTACGAGGTCATATCTCAAGGGATGAACAAAAGGCGATATCGAGATGATAATGACGTCGCCTTCCTCCGTCTCATTCTCGAGGAGGGCTAATGGATCGTATGTCTAATTAACACAGAACGCGCTGCATTTGAGAAAAAATTATTATCACTGCTCATCGCGAAGTAAATTTCACATTGAATTTATGAATCTGCAAAACAGCACCGAGACATTAATCAAAATTTTCAGATAATAAGATTATTTTCACCGACCTGATTCTATTGACGGCATCATTTTTGTACAGATAAGAGTTTCTTATATTCAATAATCTCTTTCATTTATAGTACTGAATGAGAAAATAATTTCAAGTCATATAATATCAGAAAATTTGCGTTGCTTTGTACATTCCACGTTTTTGATTATTTTCCCACACAGAAATATTTAAAAATAATACAATAAAATATCTTGATCAAATGTCAATTGTGTATTAAATTATCAATAGTGGCAAATAATTTGCGTCATTTAGTACAATGGATCACACTTACTCTCGTTTTAGGCATAGTGCCGATATTCCACCCGATCAGACCCGCGACGACAATAACAATTATAATTAAGACAACAAAGGAGATAATCTTCTTGTACGTTAAAAACCAACCGCCTTTCCGTTGGTGGGTAATTTCCTCGATAGGTGAAGCCAACGCGGTATTACCGGAATATGTTTCCATCATGCAGTCAGCTGAAAAAATTAAATGCACAATCTGGAAAAAATCGCCGCATTCAATATCGATGTCAATTGTTCTTTTTCTATTGATCATAAAACTTTGATTGTCAATATTCTCGATGATGCATCGGGTCATTTGGCACATTGTAAATATCAGCTGCCAATACATATAATAATAACATCCCAAATAATAGAACTTTTTGTCACATAAAAATTCTTTCTCTTTCTCTAATTTCAGTTAAGTATTCTTCTTCTGTGTAGGAAAGAAATAGATGTTAGAAATTCTTTACATGATGTTAAAAATGCTGTAAATTTTCTTTTATTTAAAAATTACAAGTTTTATGCCGATTTATGATAAAAAATGTTATAAGTTTAAAATAATTTAATAGAAAAAGAGAGGTACACGATTAGATGATACAAAGAATTCAGAAGAAATAGAAAAAAATATAAAGATATTTATAGAAGTATATAAACGAAAATTTATAATATTAGTATTTGGCTTTGAATGAGTGAAAAATTCTTTTTTGTTTTGCATATTAAATTTCTTTCAGCACCTTTCAATTTCAATAGACATCTATTAAAATTCCGACAAGCTGTAATCATTAGATTAGACCTTAGATTAGAATCTTAAAAAAAAATCACGGAAATTGTGAAAATTATAGGAAGGCTTGTAAATAGCGATTAACGATCGGCAATTGGGAACTTGCGAGATTCGAGATTTTATAAGCTTTGAAAGGAATCGTCATCCGTAAATTCATCGGTTGTTGTCGCACTGCGACGAATTTTGCATTAGTAGTGCAACGCTTTAGATGCGCGGAATGCGCGCAGATGACGTCAACAAAATTGGTTCCCCGTGATGCAGGAATCCGCGATAGCCCCGCGCGGAGCACGCTTGTAAATGCGGCAAGAGACGGCTTCAAGGTCCTAGCTTGTGCATTATTCGCTGACTATATATCAACTCCAGCATTCGCATAATCGTCGCCTCGCCGATAACGCTCGTATCGGCATTAGCCGCGATACTTTACGTTGATTTTAGCGGCTTAACAAGAAATATTTTTATATATTTATATAACGAGAATAATAAAGTATTATTAAAAAATACTACATATATTGTACATTATTAAATGCTATAAAAGTACTATGGTAAGAATCAAATAAATTCACAAAAAAGATTCAAAGATCATGTAAAGCATTATCTCTATGTTATTGATTTGAGATAGCATTTATAGATAAGACTGAAAATGTAGGAGAGATTTTATTCTCGAGATATTGCATTGTATTTTATTCAGAACGAATCGAATGCGCCAAAGATGCCAAAATGTTCAGTTTTTTTTTTTTTTTTTTTTTTTTAACTATCTGACATTAAAAATTGTAATCGTCCGTAGATTTACTACGTCTGATAATATCCTTATTCTGGTTAGTTTGCTCGGTAATTCTATTATTCCTCGTCGTAGCGGTTTTCATAACCATGTGAAATCATGCTTCTTGTTATACCATGCAAACGTGACTGTCACATAAACAGACGTCAATCTTGTTTAAAAAAGAAAGATATATCAAGAGAAATAATACTATAGTATTAAGAGAGTAAGAAACTTAGATATATACCAAACTTTTAAAAATTAACTTCCGTTGATCACTCTTTGATGAAATTTTAATTAATTACTTATCGTTAATGTAAGATCGACTAAATCAATTAAATGATAATAAATCAAATAACACGCACGTATACATACACACACATTTTATATTCATATCATCCATTCAGATTTAGATTGTCATGTTACTTCACAATACACACAAAATATTATTAAATTTTAGTTTAATACAATTAAACTTTGCAAATCTATTGGCAAAAGTACACATAATCAGTATTAACGAGAATATCACAAGTGTTCTAAGGTAATTCCCAAGTTGCAAATGCGTATGTAACGCGGTGAGCAGATAACATCAGTAACAACATAATTAAGTCAGAGGAATTCCAACATACTCAAAATTAATGTGACACCGCTTCCACGTGTACGTGCATATTTTTAAAAAGTCACATTCTGAGATAGCTTTTTTGTTTTTGCAATCATTCACAAAGTATCTATAAGTTTGTTTACATATAATTAATGCTAAATTATTTGACAATAACTTACCATTGTATATATCTATAATATAAAATTCGGTATGAATCCGATTTCCAAATTTTTTATTCAATTAAATAACCAAGCTTAAATTACAAAAATTATGCTTTCTTTAAGTTGTACATCAAAAAAGCTGTTGTTAACATTTATCAGTTCTGGAGAGACAATCTATAAGATTTTAATTGAAAATATAGAACTACAATAAAAGTGTCCGAAATAAGTAAAAGACAATTAAATTTTTGCAAATTTCGTATAGCGGATGATCGCAAGCCGGATTCTCTCAAATTCTCGCACAAAAGACAGGATGCCTCTCCCGAACGGAACGACGATTATAACTACTGTAAGTAATTACTTACAATTGGCGATTGACTAATTACAACGATTCAACGCAGCGATTTAAATTAATTGATGAATCATGCGTGGACGCATTCGTCGATATAAGCAATTTAATACTTGCAGGTCGACGGTAAAACAAAATTCAAACAGGCTTATTTAAATTATATTCTTTTCAAGAGCGATTCTCGAATACGAATCTAAAACAAAGACATCTCAGCTTTGATAAAAGCAAGAAATATATTTTTATTGAATATCTATAATATCTGACTGATAAACATAAACAATTCTGCAATGATAAAATAATTGTAGTTACAATAATGTATTTATCAACGGTGTGCAATGATAATAATCGCCGGAAACTATTAACATATCATTCCCAATAAGAACAATTAAACAAAAGGATATTAATTTATATATTTTTGAAACGGCGTTCTTTCTTTAAAAAAAAAAATATATATATATATATTTTTTAGATTTAAGATTTTTAATATATAAGAAAAGAATTAGAAAACATTCTTATTTTTAATTTAAGAAGAACTTGTGTTTTAGATTATTTTATTCAACGCGAGGATCGTAGGTTATTAACGCAGGCTGATAAAAACAGTTGTTATCACTTACAATTTCGCTGTCCATAGGACTGCCAACTACTGACGGATCCCCGCCGCATCTTTCAAACTTGAAGAAATAATGCGAAGTTATTATTGAAAAAGGAAAATCGCGACGAGGAAGCGACGGTAGCTTGGAAAGTGAGCACGTTTTTGACGCGGAAACGGATTCGCGATCGCGGCGGCGTACAAGTGACGCAGGTACAACTGCAATTAGCTGTTCTACCTTGCAGTGCGGATGTTGGCCGAGAAACCCACTCGTGGGTGCCCCCACTATGCTGTTGGTTCGTCAGCACCGCGTGTCGTTCTCGACCGTTCGTTCCGCTCCTTATTCTTATGCGCTTCTGCCATAATTCGTGATTAGACCTGCTATCGGAACTTTTTTGCGCGCCTTTATAGCCTTCTCTTTTCTTCGCCGCGACACATGAAACAAAATCTTGTGTAATAATGCTGCGTTTAGAACAAGAGCGAAAATTTTTTCTTCTTGATCTTGACGATCTAAAATCATAGTTATAGATAAAGGGAAAAAAAAGAGATTGAAAAGATCAAAATCAGGAAACGTATCAAGAGAAGTTATATTATTTTGAAAATCTATATAAATATAACGGAATTAAATTATCGGATTTTCAATTTGCAATATTCGATGAAAAATATTCTTCAAATATTTCTGTTTATTTCTCTAAAAAATGTATAAAATATTAAATAGATAACGTTATTTCGAAATCGTAGCAATCGCGTTCTCGATTGCCTGGAGCAGCTTAGAAGTGACCTAGTTATTGCGCGAGAGAGAAACTCGCGAACAAAACACCTCATCAAATCCAATTGAGGCGATATGGGGTGTTGTAGTAAGTCCAAGTGCACATTGGGCTTGGTCCGGGATCGGTACCAGCAGCACCGGGCACGCAAATGAACGGCACGTGTTCCCGGCAATAGCGACGCAATGGCACGGAGGGTCTAAAGGGGAGCACAATGGCGCCAAGGTCCTAGGGGACATTGAGCAGGCGGGTGTATGAGACACGCATTTTATTCCTCCATTGATCGCGACACCAACGGTCGATCGTAGATTGGCCGTTGACGTCGTCACCTCTTGGCCGCGTCCGGATTGACTCGTCGCGATTAAGTTTCCCCTTCAGCGCGACGATGGCCGCGATCGCCAAATTGAATAATTGGATGACGATCCGCCGATTTGCCCTAATTGAATCCGACTGAATCCGATTCTTTGATGCGTGGTCACGTCATGCGTTTTTCCGCATCTTTCCATCGCTTTTTGACGACCGTTGAATTACGAGGAAGCGCTCACGCAGCCAGACGCAGTCCGCACGCGGCTACGCTATCATACGGTTGTATCGGAATATCCTCCTCCCCAGGGTAAACTGTCTCTTCTTGAAGAGAGTATCAAGGTCAACCGACGCAGCGACGTGGTGACATCCGAGTCGGTTCGCCAAGAACCGTAGTCGCACGCCGCAGATCGTCCTCTGCGTCCCTCAGGCGTGCACGCCTGTCACGAGGATAACATCGTAAGCATTCGGGACCGATTAAAACAATAAGTTTCCGTAACGCGACGAAAACCTTCCCGTAGAGAATCGGTAGACTTGTGAGATTGACAGTACACAATTTTATTAAGATTATTACAGATCTTATTGTTAGTGAAAGATGTGACAGCCATTTATTTTTTTCTAGAATTAAAATTAAAATTAACTAAAATTTTGAGATTAATTTGAAACTTTGAAATTAATTTTTTCTAATTTCTAAAACAAATGTATTCATATTCAGCTATTGTTGTGTCTTTAATTGACTCCATTCTCGCTCTAGTCATTCTCAATTTATTTTAGGTATATATCAGTGCTATTATAGTCTATTAATTTCATCGAGATCTTTAACTTCAAATAAATTAGATTATTGTTATATTATATATGTGTATGTGTGTGTATGTGTGTGTGAAATCTTTAGGTGATTCCATATTAAATTTATTTTAAAATACAACATCCGTGTTTGCTACCAACAAGAATATATTTTAATAACTTTTTATTAAATTATGACCCCAGGTTTACTCTGCAATTTACCATGATGTGGACAACGTTGATCGCAGGGCTCATCTTACTATCGGCGATACCGCCCGGTCTTCCACGAAGCATCTACGATGTTGAAGTATAGTACCGACAAATCAAAAACTCTACCATATAACCACAATAATACAATCGCCAGAATATTAAAAAAATTATCATTCTATCGTAGGGCCGATCGAAGCGCAGTATCGACCTGAACGATGTCTACTACTCGAAAATGCGTCAATTCAGATTACCAAACGAAGTTACGGCGACTAGTTATCACTTGGATATCAAGATACCTTCCATCGAAAAAAATGAATTCAGCGGTCACGTCAAGATCAACCTCACCTGGAAAGACACCAGCGATAGAATAACTCTAAACATTCATCAAAATCTTGAGATCTCGAAGGTCGGCATCAGGATGATTCAACTACCGCCCGATGAAGCGTAAGCGAGTAAAACACTTAACAAAGCTGAAGCTTCTACTTTTTTTACTAAGTCAACCTTTCACAGTATATAATATAATAGAAATTTATAATAAAAATTTTGACCGGCTGAATATCATTATATAATCAAAGTTTCTTATCTCTCATAAGTTTCGAAATTATAATAAAATCTTTATCGTCTGTGTCATGTTTGCGATAAAGGGAGAAGGGTACACCGATGAAGGTTAATATCGCAAGAAAAGAACGACAAAGATTTAAATCCTGGTACATCATTCATTTAGAGCAAATGCTAAAGAATGGAAGTGCCTGCGAGGTAGCCATCACGTACTATGGAAATCTCACGACAAATGAGACTACTGGTCTCTACAAAAGCGCATATATGGATATCACGGGCCAAAAACAGTAAGCATAACATACACAATGTCTATATTATGTTTTAAAGCAAGACTTTAAAATTATCTATTTTTCTCTAAGAAACAGTATATATGGTTTTCTCAAATTTTACGAAAATTTAAAACAATTCTGAAATGCTTTGTGTAGTACTAAGAGATTTATTAAAATTTCGATGTAAAGAAAAAGTTATTATATAATCGAGAAAGAATAATTACACACAAAATAGTAATAAAATTTATTGTTTTTTTTTTATTTCAGCCCCTTCATCGCCACTTATTTACAATTAGATAACGCGCAGAAGATGTTTCCCTGCATGGATGAACCGCCCTACAAAGCGACTTTCAAATTAAGAGTATCGTATCCCATAATGCAAAGTTTCAAAGCGCGTACAAACACACCATTGATGTACGTATAATAAAAATGTTAAAATTAAACTTTTCGATCGTGAGAATATCACATTGTGGTCGATTATCTCTAGATATCCAGTAATGTTCATCGGATTCTATGAATTATTAATTTTAAGTTTTACATTAAGTCACATGTTCTTTGGTACCACACAATATGTCTTTTTGCCTCTGAAGTTCCCGACGCACGATCAACAACTCGATCGAGGAAGAATTTGAAGAAACACCAGTAATGTCGACAAACCAATTGGCTCTTGTAATATCGGACTTAGAGACCCTTTTCCCCGGAGAAAACGTAAACGAGATAGACGGACGGAAATTGCAAGTGAGGGTTTGGGGCCGCAAGGAATTCCTGGTGTCGCTGACTGAAGTTCCCAACAAAATTGTGAAGATCGTTAATTATTTGCAAAATTATTTTAACAGCTCCCTCGGTTTACCCAAATTGGATATGATGGCGATTCCCATGTATAGTGCTTCTAAAGCTTCTGACAATTGGGGTCTCATGTTCTTCAAGTAAGTAAGAATCTCTCACACATATTTCTGACGAGCGTATATGAAATAAATATTTACCTTCAGGGAAAGTGAACTCAGCAGTCCTTTAGTGTGGACCACTGCTTACGAACTTTTCTATCAATGGATCGGTCAATCTGTCACTCCGTATCGTCGAAATGATGCACCGGTTAACAAAGCTCTTAATTCGTATTTAGCATCTATGGCGACACTTGATGTGAGTTTGCGTTATGTATTTCTCTTCCATTTTATTCTTGATCCTAACACAATGTCAATCTATTATAATTAAAAATATTGAAAGAATATTTATACTAGAAAAATGTTGTTATATTATACAAATAGAGTAGAATATTAGCGAGTAATTGCATTAAATTTATTTTTTATCTCTTATAATAAAATTGTGATTATTAGAGAGAATTTCCAAAAAATAAAATATATTTTATTTAAACACACTTGACAGCTCAATCCGGATGAAATGGAAGGAAAATGGCCGATGACAGTGTTGTATTCTCTGTATTACGAATTTGCACAGACGGCACCTTTCTCTAGAGTAGCCGGGATTAGACACGAAGCAACATGGACTAAAGGTAATCACGATAAATAGCTGTATAATTTAGAATTTTCATATAACATATAAATGGCCAATAAAAGTACATTATAATTCATATTACTTATGAGAGATTAATAATCGAAGAAATATTTTTAATGTTACATGGACACAGCGTAAAAAAGAAAGTACAATAATTTCAAGCGCACAGTTATTCAATATATGGCTCAAATACAATTTAAAATTCAAAATTTCACGATTTATTATAAGTCTTTGAAATTAATTATTCATTCTTTCGGATTTTGCAGCCGAGTTGGTTTTCCGAATGTTTAATTACACCTTTGGTCACGAACTGTTCCAGAAGAGCGTGAGAAATTTCTTCCATCAGCAGTCGAAAGAGTAGTAATTGCCTTCGTTAATTAGTCGGGAAGCAGATTCTAACAATTCTTTAACTCTCTCTAACTTTTTTACATACAATTTTTTACGTAAAAAGGCGGATCATTAATATACATGCACACACATTCAGAAATAAAGTAAATTTTTACGTAAATAAAATTTGTAAATAGATAAAAATTACCGCAAACAATTAAAATTTAAATAAAAACTATCTATCTATATACGCACTGCTTCTCGGCTACTTTTATCGATAATTATAATAATCGCAGATTTTACATATCGCGAAATCGCATCTTTTGTGTTAAGGGACCGCCGAACCTTCTTCGCCAACGACATCTTCACTTACCTGAACGACTTGGCGAACGAAACGAACAATCTGCCGCCAGGTCTGACCATCAATGGCATCGCCGCATCATGGATCAACCGAGACCGAGTGCCGTTGGTCACGGTCATTCGTGATTACGAAACTAGAAAAATTAATCTCAGTCAGGTAAGTTAGACAAAAGTGTTATTTTCCGCAAGGACATGCGACGTGCGAGAGAAGTACGATACGATTTTCGCATGGATAAAATGACGGAGATGACCACGTGTGCGCTATTTACTCACGATTAAGGTATTCTTCGACAGCGGAAGTTACATGTACGTACTTCGGTAGCGGGAATTAGCAAACAGAAACGCGCGAAACACTATCTAAGAAATAATAACGTTGACTTTAGAATACATATCACGCTAAATGCTACTTAAAAAATTATGTGAAAATGACATGTCAGACACGCGTATACACACAGACACACACATCTTCTGTATAATATATATATATATTA